CAAAACCAATTTTACCACAGGCTAATTGATGTAAACAAGAGTTAAGTTGCTGTGGTATCTCATCAATGTTATAATAGAACAATGTTATTCCAGGACCTACTATGCTCTGGACTTCCTCACCTGTACCCATATGAGCCTCTTCATGTTTGCCTTTTAATCAGCAAACGTGCTGTTGAGCGGCAACCCCTAGCCACCTACAGGTTGACAGTTTGATAGACTTGATAGTGATGATCAGGTTGCTGCAGCTGACTTTCTCTTCCAGAGCTTAATGCTAACATCTTTACCACAGTTCTGCATGACCTTGAGCAAATATGAACTGCTCTCAGTCTAGAGTTTTCCTGAATTAAGTGAAAAAAAAATTTTTTAAGTATATTTTATTGATTTTTTACAGAGAGGAAGGGAGAGGGATAGAGAGTTAGAAACATCGATCAGCTGCCTCCTGCACACCCCCTACTGGGGATCGAGCCCACAACTGGAAACGTGCCCTTGACCGGAATCGAACCTGGGACCCTTCAGTCTGCACGCTGACGCTCTATCCACTGAGCCAAACCGGTTAGGGCAGTGAAAATTTTTACGTAAAGCACTTAGCACAAAATAAGTGAGCCACACTGTAGTTTTTCGATTAAAAAATTTTAAAATGATAGATGACATACGATATTATATTCAATTCAGGTGTATATCACAGTAATTAAACATTTACATACCTTATGAAGAATCACCACAATGAGCCTAATTCCCATTAACACTCTCATAGTTATTATGATATTGACTATATTCCCTATGCTGTACATTAGATCCCTGTGACTAATTTTATAACCGGCAGTTTGTTGTTCTTAATCCTTTCACCTTCTTTGCCTTTATTTCAAACTCCTCCTATCTGGCTACCATCTCTCTCTAAAATTAAGAAAAACATATCCTCAGGTGAGGAATTTTTTTAAAAAAGTCTTTTTTCATTTGACTTATTTCACTTAACATAATACTTTCTAGGTCCATCCACACTGTAACAAATGGCAAGATTTCATTTTTTTATGGCTGAGTAATATTCCATTACATATACCACATTTCCTTTACCCAGTCATCTATCGATGGGCACCTAGATTGCCTCCATATCTTGGCTATTGTACATTAATGCTGCAATAAACTTAAGGTTGTGTATATATTTTTGAATTCATGTTTTTTTATTTCTCTGATAAATACCCAGAAGTGGGATTGCTAAGTCATATTCTTGGTAATTCTTTTTAAAAAATATATTTTTATTGATTTCAGAGAGGAAGGGAGAGGGAGAGAGAGATAGAAACATCAATGATGAGAGAGAATCATTGACTGGCTGCCTCCTGAATGCCCCACACTCGGGAATGAGCCCACAACCTGGGCATATGACCCGACTGGAAATCGAACCTTGACCTCCTGGTTCATAGGTCAAAGCTCAACCCCTGAGCCACGCTGCCCGGGCTTGGTAATTCTTGATGAGGACAGAGTAGAAGACTACTAGTTAGTGAAGAATATTTTTGCCCTGACTGGTTTGGCTCAGTGGATAGAGCGTTGGCCTGCAGAATGAAGGGTCCCAGGTTCGATTTTGGTCAAGGGCATGTACCTTGGTTGCAGGCACATCCCCAGTAGGGGGTGTGCAGGAGGCAGCTGGTCAATGTTTCTAACTCTCTCCCTTCCTCTCTGTAAAAACGTCAATAAAATATGTATTTTTTAAAAAAAGAATATTTTTCTTTTCTAGCCCTATTATTTTCTTTGGCTTGGTGCCATCACATCACCCACACCCTTTTAAAGAAGGTCTTCAAGGTTGGCAACTTCTCCTTCTCCAATTTGAGTCACATCTGAATCTATCTGTAACATGATGACGTGTGACAGCTTACTCGTGTCCAGCTTCTTCGTCATGTTCACCCACAAGGACAGTCATCTTCAGGGGATTTGCCTTCATATCTGGCTGCGCTCTTTTCCTTCGGTGACTCTGATACCAGTATCAGGATTTCTCTGGATCAGTATTACCAAATAAATACCCCTGCGCATCACCGGGGGTTTCAGCAGGAAACCGGGTGGGTGAACGTGGGAACACCATTCAAACAAGGATAACTGAGGAGGATTTATAAAGGGACTGTTTATAAATGGGGAGGCAGGGAAAGGTACATCACAAGGGGTAATGCAATTACACGGGGTTGGTAATGACAGAGCTGTTAAGTGTCCCTAAGGGGAGGGGCCTGTGGTGTGAGGGGCGGGGCCTGTGGTGTGAGTGGTTCCTAGAACCCTAAGGTGCAGGAGTTCTATATAGAAAGGGCCACCTTGAGAGGACTGTGATATTTGTTGTAAGTGCAACCAGTTTGAGGCAAATCCACAGGGAGGAGTCAGGAGAATAAATACCCTGATCTCACTTTCCTTCATCTCTCTGATTTGCCAAGACTCCTTAGGCAAATACAGAAGGATGGCAGAGGGCAAGGGAGCCCACTGGGGTCAGCCTCCTGAGGCAGGACAGAGGAGGTGAAGGTGGATTCAGAGGGGCAAATGGAAGATATCTGGCATATTACATAGACAAATGGGGCCATGCAGGTCTATGATGACCAAAGATGACCAGTGATATGAACCAAGGATGATAGTTTATCCAATTTCTTGCAACTTGGGGTTCTTTAAGAAATTAGTTGGCCCCTAATGACTTTGTGCCACTAGAGAAATTTCAAGGTTTTGTTTTATAACTAGATTTTCAAAATCTGCATTATTGTTACCCATGTTAATAGTCCACCCTCTGGCATTATTTATGTCTGATTTATCTTTGAATATTCTGGAATTTGACTACTGGGGGGTGGCCCCCACTTCCTACCCATGGTGTTCAATCTGTCTGTATGGGAAGCCTTAGGCAGACACCATTTTGGTCCCTGCAGGGAACTTGGGAATCAGCTCTGTGGGTCTTCCCCCCTCCCCACCAGCACTCTCAGAGTGGACATTAGAATGTACTTTTCTCCTGCAGGTGGAGGTAGGGCTGAGCAAAGCAGGACAAAGGTATAGGATTTGCTGAGAAATAGCTCAGGACTGGAGACAACAATCTACCTGCTCCTTCCATCCTTCTCACCGTTCTGAAAGAAACCTAGGAAATAGTCTTCGGACCCTAGCAATGGACTAACCAACCAAGAAAAGCCCACAGCCTTCTGAAGTCACAGCCAGAGGCAAGGGTAGGGCTCTGTCCTAACTCTTCTCAATTCGCCATTCGGCAAGGCTAGGCCCTAAGAGCAGGTAGAGTGGGTTGTGAACTACATAAAGGGATTCGAAAGGCCTGCCTGACCCCAACTATCTCCCTTGCTGGCCTGAGGATCTGCCTGAAGTTTCCACCCTTCGAGTCAGTCCTTTATGCTGAGGAGTCCTCTGTTGCAGTGTACATGCTGCCTAAAGGGTGTCTTTCTTTTGTCTTCTCAACACCAAACTTCCCTTCCTGTTTTGAGAACTGCACCCCTTCCGAGTATTTTTAGGAAGCAGAGCCCATTTTCTACTATAGAAACCTCCCCAGGAGGTACAGCATTTGCTGTCCCAGCCCCTCTTGTAGTCAGGGCAGGGACACGTGACCTAAGGTCGGCCAACCAGGTCCACATGCTCCAGAATACACAGCGGGAGCTGGTGACGTAAGACAGCAGAATTTGGGGGAGTGTTTATTTCGGCAGTGGGCGGTGGCGGTGGCCCTGTCCAGAGCTGTCAGTGGCAGTAGCACAGACTGTGACACCCAGTAGTAAGGAGTGTCTGCAGCCACGGTTATTGTTTATGGCGTGATCTGTGCTGTGGTCCCAGCTGCTGCATAGCGTCCCCCGTTCCTGCCCATTTCCCAAGTGAGTTCCTCCGCCTTCCCAGAGAACCCAGAGCTCCCCAACACCCTTGTACTAAATCCCCAAGCTGCTTCCATCAGACAGAGTCATCCTCATGTACAAGAAACGAAGAACACTGACTAATACAAGAGGTGGCCCATCACCTGAAGAGAAGCCATAAATGTATCAGCTGCAGGTGGATTCATTTGTCCAAATAGTTAGTTGTCACCTTGGGGAACAATAGGACCCCAGGAAAGAGTTCTTGTTGATGGGGGGATGAATTAAGGAGGGTCTAGTCCAGTGGTTCTCAACTTTCCTAATGCGGCGACCCTTTAATACAGTTCCTCATGTTGTGGTGACCCCCCATTTCATTGTTACAAATTGAACATAATTAAAGCATAGTGATTAATCACAAAAACAATATGTAATTATATATGTGTTTTCCGATGGTCTTAGGAGACCCCTGTGAAAGGGTCGTTCGACCCCCAAAGGGGTCGCGACCCACAGATTGAGAACCGCTGGTCTAGTCTTATGGATATTGGCTGATGGGACTTTCCTAGCAGGACATTGGACATGGCTTCAAAGGAACCTGAGGGCCATCCAAGGCACCAGGCTGGGCAGTGCAGGGTGGAGACAGACGCGTTGACAGGAAAGACGGAGGTGCAGTAAGGGCAAAGCTCACGTGGCTGACACCGAGTGTGGAGCCTTGCTGACATGGCCTTGTCATCCTGGGGAGCATTCAAGGGAAGTTTCTGCTTTATCAACGCAAGACCATTGATTTTATCTCTTTGATTTGCCTAACCGTTTCTGCTGACATTAGTATTCATGGTAATAGCAATCAGTTTGTGAGATTTTTATCCTCCTCCCGCCCCACCACCACTGCCTTTAATTCATTTATGATTTAATAAGCAGGGATAAAAAGTGCAAGGGCAGTGTAGATTCTAAACTACCGAAAGAACAAGGGCTGTCTCTTTATCATCTTTTCCCCAGAGAGGAGCACAGAAATTGTTCACTAGTCACTGAGGAAAGGGAAGGAGAAAAGGAACAAGGCATATTGTGAGTACAGATATAGGACAATTGCTAAGAAGTTGTTTGGGGGGTTTGTGTGTGTGTGTGTGTGTGCAGGGGGTAATCCACAAGTAAACAGAATTCACTCCTTTCTGTATTCTTCTTCACTTTCTCTCAGAACAAGGACTGTGCCTGGTGTTCCATTTACTGCACAGATAAACTCAGGGCTCAGTTACTGTTCTGTTCGCTTTTCCATGGAAGGATCATGTTTGCCTGCCAGCAACTCCAGGTATGAACTCTGCCTGCAGTGGCAATGCAAGCCAAGATAGGAGGTGACAGTTCTCATCTCTGAACCCCCAGCTCGGCTCTGAAATTCTGTTTTTTGGTGGACTCCCAGGGCACTGACCCTCACCATCCACAGGAGATGCTCTTGAAGTCATTTTTGCGATGGGGGAGCACTGAGTCGCCACCCTTTCTCACCAGCTCCATGGATGTCATCAAGGAAAGGGCACTGAAAAATAACCTACGTGAAACTACCAGAAAACATTAAAGAAAGAAAAAAACGCAAGCTGTGTTTGACTTTAAAAATATTTATGAAACATGTTTCTTATTTGTGTAACATGTCGACTAATAAATATTTTACCAGGATGATAAGGATGAATCATGATGACGGAGGGAGAACTTGGAGTGACTAAGGAATGGTGACCTGGTACACTTTAATTTAAAGCTCAGTTCATCAGACTTGTCCTCTGCATCAGATCTTGAAATTTGGCAGAGCATGTGTCTTTCCAAGCACAGACCAGATTTCTGACCTTGAATCGTAGCCAGGTCAGTATATGGAGGGCCAGTGGCAGCGGCTCTTGATTACCTGAAGCAGAGGCTTCTTAAAAGTGAAAAAGGTGATAGTGCAGGCCACCAGCAGGGTGAGGCAGCTGGGGAGAATGAGCACAAGGTACAGCAGGTCCATGTTCACCCTTTCCCACTTACAGTCCTGAGGCATGCCGCTGGGCAGGTCCACCAAGCGAACGACCCTAGAGGACAGGTTGCAAGTGATCATGGCCAAGTCGGAGATGGTGTGCAGACTCTGTAGGGCCCCCCAGCCCTCCACCCTGCAGCAGTCATACGGATTCTGACTGAGGTAGATGGTCCGAAGACTTGTCATGAGCTGCAAAGACATGGCCCCCTGGGGAAGGGCCGTGAGCGAGTTCCTGCGGAGATCCAGGGTCTGCAGAGCCAGGCTGCCCCTGAATCTGGGGAAACTGGTCAAAGAATTTCCGGACAGATCCAAGTCCCTCAGATTCCGAAACCCAGAGAAGTCCAACTCCGTGAAGCTGGCACTGAGGCCCACATCCCTGAGAGATAGGGCTTGTAATGTGGGGGCAATATTCCGGAGAGGGGTAGTGCTCCCATTCAGAACCCCCCAGTTTCCAGAAAGGTCTAAGTGGGTGAGGGCAGTCCCCTGGAACGAGCAGTCTTGTAATGCTCCCAGCCCACAGCCCTCCAGAGAGAGGCTCCTCAAAGATGCCACGTTCCTGAAATCTACACAGCTGGGAGAGCCCACGCCGTCTAAACCAGCTGGCTGGGGACAAAGTGAGATCTGATTGTGGCTCATGTCAACTGTAGTGATGTTACCGGCATCAGCAAAAAGGCCGGTAGGGACACTCAGGAGCTGGTTGGAGCTCAGGTTGAACGACCGGAGGCTCTTTAGGCAGCCGGGGATCCCGGGAGCCAAGTGCAGCTCCGACAGCTGGTTCTGGCTCAGGTCCAGCTCCAGGAGCGCTCCTGGGGGCTCGTGCTCCCCAATGTGGAGCGTCATCAGGCAATTCTGGTTGAGGTTCAGGTGGGAGAGGGAAGACATCTTCCTTAGGAAGCCGTCAGGCAGGTATTGGAACTGGTTCTGGCTCAGGTCCAGGAAGCGTAGATCTGCAAGGTCACTGAAGTCAAACTCCTCCCAGAGGTTAACTGTGGTGATGTTGGTTATGTTGCCATCTACAAGGAGGAACTGGGCCACCATCTCCTTTGGCGACGAGGTGTTGTACAGGTCCTTGTAGAAGCCCATGTTGTTGTCCCTCAGCAGGAGGGTGTGCAACTTGCTGGACTGGGGCAGGAGTGGGAAAAACAGCAGCTGATTGTGCGAGAGGTCCAGCACCTCCAGCTCAAAAGCAGCCCCTTCTCCTGATGCCAGGAACCACTCCAGGTTATTATAGCTGACATTGAGGGACTGGAGCTGCGTGAGGCTGAAGTCCACAATGCAAGGGAGGTTGTTATAGGCCAGGTTGAGGTGTCTCAGCCCAGCCAAGCCTTCGAAGGCTCCACCCTCGATCTCAAAGATGTAGTTCCTCTGCAAATCCAGCTCCTGGAGGTGCCCCAGGCCCTCAAAGATGGAGTCGTCCAGCCTCATGATGGTGTTCCTCGCCAGGGACACAGACTCCAGTGAAGAGAGGTTCTGGAGCATGAGGGCCGCCATGTCTTCCGTCAGGGAGTTCCCCGACAAGTCCAGCCTCCGCAGGGCCCGCAGGCTGTGGAAGGCAGCTGCCGTCTCCTTGTAGCTCTCCGAGAGGGAATTGTCAGGCAGCGCCAGGCTGCGCAGGCGGGCCTGCCCCAGGAAGGCCTCACGACCAATGCGCTCCAGGTGACAGCTGTGCAGACTGAGGTTCTCCAGGAGCGGGTAAAGCTGGAGGGAATGATTCCACAGGGTCTTGAGAGGGTTGGCATCTAGGATGAGCGTCTGTGAGTGGGGAGGGAGATTGCTGGGCACTGCAGCAAGATTCTGCTCTCGACAGTCAGCGACTCCATCGACCTAAGTTCAAAAACACACTGGTCAGCAGGAAGAGGCCTCTGAAGCAGGGGTTTGGGTACATAAACTTAGTTCAGTCATCAGACTGTTCCTGCAACTTTGGGGAATGGCTCCAGAGATCATAATTTTTTAAAAAATGGATCAGACCCTGTAGAAAAAAAGGGGAGCTTTTCTTTGTCCTTTACCCTCACACTAAAATAGCCAGCTGGGAGCTGAGTTCCAGGCCTTGTCTAAAACACACAGCATGTTAGAGAAGATCTCAGCACCTGCCCACCAGGTGCTGAGTGGTAACAATAGCATTTGCACTTTGGTTTTAGCTATGAGAGGGACTGAGAGCCAGGCCTCTACCTGGATTTGAATCCTGCCTCTGCCATTTATTTCCGTGTGGCTTTGGGCAAATAATTTAACTTACGTCTGTCATTTCCTTTGAAAAATGGAGATAAAAATAGTACTTACGTCAGAGGACTGCAGTGAGATTAGACAAGAGACTGCAAGGGCCTGACACACAGTGGGCACTCTTAATGCCACCTGTCACCATTGCATTGCAATCGCTCTACCATTACACCTGTGTGTCTAAGAGGGACACTGCCTGACAACCGGCAGTGCTGTGGCATCTTCATTTCAACCAAAGAAATTTTGTCTCAATATTCCTCCACATTCGGAGTTGACAAATGTCTCAGCTTAAAAGGACTTCAGAGCTCATCGTCACCCTGAATTGCACCGAAAAGTAGAGCGGGGTCTGGAGAGAAGTGGAGAGAGAGTCAATGGCAGAGCCGGGGCCAGAGCCCAGAGCTCTTAATGCCCAATTCAGTGCTTTTCCTGGATGCAGTTCTACCTTGTGCTGCAGAAGGAGGCAGGAGGGATGGGACGACCCTGGTCTCATTGCAGAAGTCACTCAGGCCTTAGGATGAACTCAGCCCAATGTTTTACATGATTGGCAACAATGATCCACCATAGGATGTTAATTAGGAAAAAAGTTTGAAGTGACAAGAAAGGGGAGTAATGGCCTTCCTTTGCACAGACAAGGTCTGTGATTGCCTAAAACTGTGGGTCCAATCCCAGGGGCAAGAGGAATAATGGAAAAGGGGAGAAAAATCTGATAGAGAAGGAGAAGCACCAGTTTGGAGAGATGACAGACTCAAGTCTGAATCTCAGCTCTGTCACGTATTAGTATTGGGCCCTGGACAAGGAATTAACTCTCACAGCCCCAAGTTCTTTATCTGATTATTAAAATAAAACCTTCTAATAATTAAAAATTGATCTAATATAGAAATACAGAAAATTAAACTCTTCAGTAACCTCAGCCTCTTCCTCAAAGAAACACCAATAACTTTTTGTTACATCTCCTTCTGGACTCTTTCCTAAAGATATTATCTACCTTTTCTAAACAAACAAAACCCACAATTTTTAAAAAATGAGTCTGCATTCTACAAACTGTTTAGTTACCTACAATCTCCTCAATAATATGTAATAGACATATTGCTCTGGCAATAAAATAAATTTGATCATCTTCTGTTTAGCAACTGTCTCTTAATTCATTGCATGAATAGAACAGTGGTTAAGAGCAAGAGTTCTAGGGTCAGTGCATCGTGGTTCTGGGTTTTAACAAATGGGTGATCTTGGTCTTGTTACCTAACCAGTTGGGACCTTCATTACTCCACCTATTAAAATGAAATTATACTTGTAATTTTCTCATAGGATTTTTTTTCTTCATGAGGATTCTCTGTGATTATTTATGTAAAACATTTAACACAGAGCTTGGCACATAAATGCTTAATAAATGTTAGCTATAGTGATAAGTTTTATTTAATCGGTTAATTTTATAGAGCATTGGAGTTGTTTCTCATTTCCAGATGAATTTGTGAAGTTCTTTCTACACCTCCCCTTACCCCAACAATCTTTGGAATTTTTATAGGAGATGCATTACAATCATGGAGTAATTTGGAGAAGAACTGACATCTTTGTAAAATTAAATCTCCCCATGCAGAAACAAGATGCATTTCTTTATTTGAGTAAGCGCTGGTCTCCCCCACACAGGGACTCTCTGGAGAATGTTGTGGTGAGGGGCTTTCCAAAAGGAGTGAGACCCTGTTTTATCACAGCTGTGGAGGCCATGAGTGTCACACCCCTGCAATTCCCTGGGGTCCCACTGAAGTGCTGCAAAAGGACCACAGGGCCATCAGAGCCAAAGAAAACCTCCTCATTCCATTTTATTATAACATCACATGGCTAATGCGAGGAGGGGCAATGGGGGGGGGAGCGGGTAACCTGGACTCTCAAACCCTCAGCCCTATTCAGAAAAGCCACAGGAAATCCACTCCTTGAGCTCACTGACAGCTGAGTCCCTACTTCTTCCCACCAGGCTAGAGAGGGTCAGGCAGGGAGTCTAGCCTGAACCCCAAAAGACTCTCAAAGAACTCAGGCTTTATTCCCTCCTCTTTGTATGCCTGGTGACTCCTGAATTAGCTACTGCAAACTTAATCTTTCATCGCCTCTGTAAAGGAATAATGGAAGTCTGTGTAGCAGAGGCTAACAACAATAATAATGGATAAAATACGTAGCACTTACCACATTCAAGGCACTGTTCTGAGTGCTTTACATACATTAACTCATTTAATCGTCGTTAACAACCCAGTGTTATGGTATGATTGCTTGGCATTATTAACACCTCCATCTTTTACAGATGAGGAAACTGAGGCAGAGTGGCCCGATGTCACCAGCTAGTAAGAGGTGGAACTGGGGTTTAAACCTGGTTTGGCTCATAACCTCTCCCCCACACTGGAGGATGCTATAGTGTAGTGGTTAGAGGTTACCAAAAGTGGTTAAGAACTATGACCAGTTGGGTTTTTAAGATTCTTCAGCCTTAAGAACACATTTTTTAATATAAGTATTAATCCAGACATCCAATTAGTCTTCCCAGTGCCTGGGATATAACAGAGTTCAAATGTATGTTTCTCAGGCAGATGTTTACATCACTGAGTTACAGGCAAAGGGGAAAATTTCTAGGAATGTGCATGGTTGTTATGTTTGCACAGATAGGCTGAAAGCCCTGAAGAGAGTTGACCACAAAAGCTCGGGTATCTACTTCCTGGATTGTCTTAAACCTAAGCATGGTCAGGGATGTTGCTGTGCAGTGCCCGTGGGCAGCATGCTCTTCAGAACAGCATCTTTAAAAAAATCCGCATCTGAGAATATCTTTTTATTGATTTTTTTGGAGAGAGGAAGGGAGAGAGAGAGAAAAAAAAATCGATGTGAGAGAAAAATATCGATCAGTTGCCTCCTATACACGCCTCCACCGGGGATTGGACCCACAACCTAGGTACCTTCCCTGACCATAATCAAACCCACAACCCTCTTGGTGTATGCAACGACACTCCAACCAATTGAGCCACTTGCCGGGGCTTCAGTACAGCTTTTTAAGTAATTGCTATCAACTCAAACATAAACCCTGAGGCAGGGCTTCTTCAACTTTAATATGCCTCACCATTATCAGATCCCAATAGCTTTAGTGGGGCTCAATCACCCAGATTTTTAACAAGGTGCTTTTGTTCCCGGTGGCTCACTTAGGCCTGTCCCTGAGGCCTCGTGCCTTCAGTGGGTTCGCAAAAGGTGGGGCAGAGCCTTTCCAAATGGACCAAACCTTGTCAACACAGGAACAATGGACAACTCAGTTCCTGGGAAAACTCACCAACTTGCAGCACCTTTGGCAAGCAGCTGTGGCTACTCCACTTCGGGTCCTCCATTCCACTGTCAAGAAGTGAAAACCAAGGCAGAGCCAGAGAGGCAATAACTCCATCTCAAGTGCAGCACTGTGGACAGAGGGCAAGGGAAACACAGTCAGAGAGGGACGTGCCAGAGGGCTGCTTTTCACTCTCAGTAGAAGGAGCCAGTTCCAAGTGGTGTCTGGTCTTGCAAGCCCATTGCTGCAGGCAGGTGGAAACCCGCACACTCCTTACATACCTCAAGTTAATCAATACTTTCAACCTTTTACTGCAAGAACTCACTTTCATTTTGCCCCTACCATCTGATGGACAGGTGGCTGAACACTGAAACTCCCAAGAGTCCAGCAACAGAAGTGAGAAGCACAGGATTTGAGGAACCAGGTTTCAGGTCACCTAGAGTTTGTCATGTTTTTTAGTTCTGTTGACGTTTTCTTCCCAAAGCTCAAATCCTCCTGATGTGTCACCTGAGCTCAATAAATACGTTTTGAATGAATGAATAGCGAACTAGAATTGAAATATAAATGTTGCCACTGGTCCCATAGACTAATTGCTGACATGAGGCTTTTAAAAAAGTGTAGATTGCATTGGTTAACTCATTTGAATATAGCCCTTTGAAAATAGGACTTTGATATTTTGCCTGGATAAAGGAAAAGCTAAGGGGAAAATGAAAAAGCAATCTTCAGTATAATAAGGATTATTGATGAATTATGATTCCCAGCCCTCTTATCATGCCAGTGAGCACAGAACAGAAGTCATGAGAATGCTTAAAATTATATAATTTGTGCACGGTGGGGGTTGGGGGTCCCTCAGCCTGGCCTGCACTCTCTTCAATCCGATACCCCTCGGGGGATGTCCGACTGCCGGTTTAGGCCCGATCCCGCAGTTGGACATCCCTCTCACAATCCAGGACCACTGCTTGATTGCCCCTAATCGCTCTGCCTGCCGGCCTGATTGCCCCTAACCGCCTCCACCTGCCAGCCTGATCACCCCCAACTGCCCTCCCCTGCCAGCCTGATCACCCCTAACCACCGCTGCCTCAGCCCCGCCACCATGGCTTTGTCCGGAAGGATGACTGGAAGGTCTCCGGAAGGTCTCCCAGTCTAATTAGCATATTACTCTTTTATTAGTATAGATACCAACAGAATTTTAGAACTAAGAGAAACCATAATGGAAATATAATATATCCTCCACCATCACATTTTTACAGGTGAACACACAAAGAAATAATAATGGCTTATTCAAGGTTCAAGATCAACTTAGTGGCACAGCTGGTAACAGCTGGCAGATCCTCTTCTCCGAGCTCCAGGACAAGAACCAGACTAATTACTCTCACTGCAGGTGCTGTTAGATTGAACCCTCCTATTGAAAGAGTTTATAGACACAGGTGGGTGGAATCCCCTCCCAGCTCGGCATTCGTCAGAATCAGAGGCAAGTGCCTGGCCCCAGCATTCTGACGGCCCCATCCTCTCCTTGACCTCTACCTGGGAAAGACGGCAGGGTCTGCTCTCCAGTCTTCTCATGGGCCAGCAGCACCAGCACTAACATGAACCTCCTCACCTGTTCCATGGACCCTCTGCCTGACACATCTCAGCTCTCTAGGGCCCCTTCCTCTTTCCCTTTCTTTGAATGAGTTTACACAATCTCTAAGGCTAATTTTAACTTCCTGGTTAGATTTGAATACTCATTAGTGAAAACAGACTAACAGAAAGACTAAGTGAAACCGGGTAAATCAACTTCAACCTTCACTTCAGGTCAGATCAGCTCTCCTTACCACAGAGGAGACCTCCAATTCAGAATAATTCACAATTCATCAGTATTTGCCCAACACTGGGAATACTCTTCTCAGACTCTCCTTCCGCTTCTGCACCTGTGCAGGAATTAGCACCTCTTGGCATGTGCAGGGCACAGATGGCAAACACAGAACCATATGGGCTCCTGTTCTCAGTATCTTCCCGACATACACACACACACATACACACACACACACACACACACACACACACACACACACACACCCCTGAAACCCTGAAACCTTGGGATCACTGCCCATCTTAAAATAAGGTTGCTAGACCTAGCAAATTATACTAAAAACAAACAACTTTTTTTTTTTTTAAATATATTTTATTGATTTTTTACAGAGAGGAAGGGAGAGAGATAGAGAGTTAGAAACATCGATGAGAGAGAAACATCGATCAGCCGCCTCCTGCACATCTCCTACTGGGGATGTGCCCGCAACCCAGGTACATGCCCTTGACCGGAATCGAACCTGGGACCCTTCAGTCCGCAGGGCGACGCTCTATCCACTGAGCCAAACCGGTTTCGGCAAAAAAACAAACAACTTTTTAGTATAAATATGTCCCATGCAATATCTGGGACATACTAATACTAAAAAAAAAAGAAAATTCATTGTTTATCCAACATTCAAATTTCAATGAGTTTCCTGTATTTCATTGAGAAGAGACAGGGACTGAGAACCATGGACCTTCTCCCGCCTCTCCTCCTTCACCATCTCTGTCAGATTTGGGATGGGTAGCCTGGCCAGCGTGGCTCAGTTGTTGAGCATGAACTATGAACCAGGAGGTCACAGTTTGATTCCCAGTTAGGGCACATACATGGGTAGCTGGCTCAATCCCCAGTAGGGGGCATGCAGGAGGCAATCAATCAATGATTCTCTCTCATTGTTGATGTTTCTCTCTCTCTCTCTCTCTCTCTCTCTCTCTCTCTCTCTCTCTCTCTCTCTCTCCTCCTTCCTCTCTGAAACCAATGAAAATATACCTAAAAACAAAACAAAACAGATTTGGGATGGTACTTGTTGTGACACTGACCCTTCTAGAACAACCAGCTCCATATATTGAAATACTGATTCTAGATGTCTTCAGGGAAAGAGTGCAGTTTCTTCAGGGAGAATGTAACTCAGACTGGAATGCTGGATAGGCCTCATGTCACTAATGCTCAGAGTGTAATTTTATTTTCTGGGTCAACAAGACAATTTTTGTAAATTTAAAATATCTATTCCCCTTCTTCCTAAACTCAGTCAAACAACCCAGGAAAACTTTTGCTGTACCTTCTGGGCAACTCCGAATGTGAGATAGCCTGGGGAGATTATGGAATTTAGAACCAAACAGATCAGGATTTTAATTCTGGCTCCAATATTTGTTATTTGTCGTTGAGCAATTCACATACCGTCTCCTAGACTCAGTTAATCCTTCTAAAAATGGGGATAATAATATCCATTCAGAGTTTCAATGAGAATCAAATAGTATATGTGAAAGTACTTTGTTAACTCTGAAGGTAACATAACTATCTTACCTAATAATAGACAAACATGTAAATTGACCATATCTTTGCTACACTAACCAGCCAATCAGGAGAGTATGCAAATTAACCCAACAAAGATGGAAGTTAATTTGCATACATAGGCTCCAAGTGGTGGAGTAAAGCCTGACGGCCCCAGGGCTGGAGCAGCAAAGCCTGACGGCCCCAGGTGCCAGAGGCAAACTGGTGCCAGCAGCCAAGGGAAGGGAAGGCCTATTGCACGAATCTCTTCATGCAACAGGCCTCTAGTATAACATAATTATTATTGACTAGAGGCCCAGTGCACGCAATTCATGCATGGTTACGGTCCCTAGGCCTGGCCTGCAATCAGGGCCATCTTCTCCAGTTGCCCACAGCCAGCCCCGCCCCCACTGTCACCCTCCACGGTTCCCCGTTTGCCATCGGGCGATCGGGGCGGGGGGGGGGGGGAGACCGAGAGGTTGGCCTTTCTTGCCCACTCGCCAGCCCTTCCCCCGCTGCAGGTCACCCTTTGTGTGTGGTGTGACTGGTAGGGTTGGGGGCCTTGGCCTGTGCCACCCACGATCAGAGCCTGTAGGCCGAGAGGGACCGAGAGGTAGCCAGTGTACCTCATAGTGACTGGTCGAGTGGTCATTCTGGTCGTTCTGCTGTTAGGGTCAATTTGCATATTACTCTTTTATTATATAGGATGAGTTCAAACCACCAGTGAGTTGGTTGTGTGTGGTTGTTATTCCTACATACAGTCTCCAATGTAATTCAGCAATTACACAAAAAAGAAAAAATAATGAATAATTTGGCCCTTGCTGGTTTGGCTCACTGAATAGAGCATATTGAGTCCATTCAGCCTGCAGACTGGTAGGGTCCCAGTTCAATTTCGGTCAAGGGTCCATACCTGGGTTGTAAGCTCAATCCCCACCGAGGTGTGTCAGAGGCAACCAATCAATGTATCTTTCTCACATTGATGTTTGTCTCTGTCTCCCCTTCCTTCCCACTCTCTCAAAAAATCAATGGAAAAATATCCTCAAATGAAGATTAACCAAATAAATAAATAAATAAATAAAATAATGAATAATTTGGCTGGAAGAATGAATTTTTCATATTAACTGTATAAAAAATATGAGGGGGAAAATTAAAAAATTTAAAATAATATGAGGGAAGGTTGGGTTAAACATTCTACATTAATAAATTCCAGAATAAGGCTAATCCCAGGAACAAAGGACTATGCTTGTTGAGAGCTGTTTTTCCTCAGATTCATGGTTTATCCATCCTCTACCCTGCTCTGGTTTGCAGGGGCTGACTTTTGAAGGCTCTGTTCCCAAGTTCTAGGTGCCAGTTGGCCTCCAGCTGGTTTGGTCAATGGAAGGCACTAGTGGGAAGTTAGAAGGAGGAGAAAATCCAGGGTATTTCTCTCCCTCTCTGCCTTGGACAGAGAAGTCCTTGAGCCTCTTTGGGTGACTCCTAGTTCTGTTAACACCCTCCTCCCTTTATCATCATCCTACCCAGGGGAGGTCACAGCCTCCTGAAATTCCTTTTCTCTGGGATGACTGTCTGTTCCCTGGTTGACATCTCAGCCTCTTCCATCATGTGTAGCAAATTTCCTGCATTAAATTTCCTCTGTTTTAAATGATCTGCATGTTTCTGTTTCCTGGTTAGACTGTGACTGACACAATGATATAAATGAGATTGGGCTTTAAAATAGTACTAAACAAACAAACAAACAAAAAAGGTATGTAATGACTTTGAGAAGAAATGAAAGACTAAAAATAATAGCCACTTCAGTTGAGAAACACTTC